GGAAGGAAGGAAGGAAGGAAGGAAGGAAGGAAGAAAGGCAGGAAGGAGGAATGTGTGAATTTATTAGCTAGGGGTTTTTATTGCTGTCACAAAACATCATGACCAAAAGCAACTTGGGGAAAAAAGGTATTTCACCTTACAGTTTATAGTCAGTCCATCATCCAGAAGGAACTAGGCAGGAACTCAACGCAGAAACTGGGAGGCAGAAACTGAAGCAAAGGCAATGGAGGAGCACTGCTTACTGGGTTGCTCCTCATGGTTTGCTTAGTCTGTAAGAACAACGCAGGACCATCTGCTCAGAAGTGGGACTATCCACAATGGCATGGGCCCATCCACATCAATCATTAATGAAGAAAATGTACCATAGGCTTGCTCACAGGCCAACTGTGTGGTGGCATTCTCTCAGTTAAGGTTCCTTCTTCTCAGATGACTGTAGCTTGTGCCAACTTGACAAAAAATAGCCAGCGTAGTGAGACATGAAAAGTTGGGGATTCCAGGATGTGCTGGTGTCTGTGTTCAGAGGATAAAAAATGAGAGGCTACAATACAAGTCCCAGGAAGAGCTGGGCAACAGTGGCACACACATTTAATCCCAGCACTTGGGAGGCAGAGGCAGGTGGATCTCTGTGAGTTCAAGTCCAGCCTGCTCTACAGAGAGAGTTCCAGGATAGCTAGGGCTAGACAGAGAAACCCTGCCTCAAAAACCTACAAAACCTAAAAAAACAAAACAAAAAATCAACAACAACCAACCAACCAACCAAACAAACAAACAAAAAAACCGGAATCCCCAAAGGAAGGCACTGTGAGATCAAAGAGCTTCACAGGCTACCTTAGTAAACCTATATTATATTCTGTGTGCAAGAAGAGAAGAAGCCATTGAAAGGCTGTGACCAGATGACTAGCATGCTGATCAAAGACTGAGAAGAGAACAGGCTGGAAGTATGACTTGAACTTGCAACCTCTAGCTCTTGGAGGTAAGTCTGGTTTTAAGGGCAATGATGAAGAGTCAGATAATACTAACATGGGTCCTCCTAATCTGTAACTGGTATGCAAAAACGATAACCAAAAACTGGCTATGCTAGTCTAACAGTAATTGTGCATGAGGAGAAAAAGAAAAAGAAAACAGTTATCCTAGCCTAGTATTAGCCACTATCAAAGATAGGCTAAGACACTATAAGAGCAAGCAAGAACTTCTCCACAAGACTGATATAACAGATCCAGCCAGAGATAAAACATAAAATATTGATTTAGTATTAAAAAACTATACAATGTAATTTATGTAATATCAATAGACTAAAAGAAATGCAAATGACCAGGCTGTGGTGATACATCACTTGAGTCCTAGCACCCAGGAGGCAGACAGGTCTGAGTTTAAGACCAACCTGGTCTACACAGTGAGTTGTAGGCCAGACCCTTTCTCAAAACAGAAAGTAATAAAGAATTCCAATTAATGCAAAAATCCGGCAAATTTAAAATGGTTTTAAAGAGAAGCAGAGAACTCTCACTTAACTAGAACAGATGGCAGCTTCTTAACATGTTAAAGGCATCTACAAGACCCAACAACAAACAATATACTTAAGTATGAAACTATAAATGTTTTGCCTTAAGATTAAGAACAGGACTTTAGTCCTCAGAGAAATGCAAATCAAACGACTCTGAGATTCCATCTTACAGCTGTCAGAATGTCTAAGATCAAAAACTCAAGTGACAGAACAGACTGGCAAGGATGTGGAGAAATGGGAACCCTCCTCCATTGCTGGTGGGAGTGCAAACTTGTACAACCACTTTGGAAATCAATCTGGAGGTTTCTCAGAAAATTTGGAATAGCTCTCTCTCAAAACCCAGCAATAACACTCCTGTCCATACACCCAAAAGATGCTCTATCATACAACAAGGACATTTGCTCAACTATATTCATAGCAGCTTTATTTGTAAGAGCCAGAAACTGAAAACAACCCAGATGTCCCCCAACTGATGAATGGATAAACTGTGGTACATTTACACAACGGAATACTACTCAGCTATTAAAAACAAGGAAATCATAAAATTTGCAGGCAAATGGATAGCACTAGAAAAGATCATCTTGAGTGAGGTAACCCAGACCCAGAAAGACGCACATGGTAGGTACTCACTTATAAGCAGATATTAGACTTATAGTACAGGATAACCATACTATAACCCACAGACTCAAAGGAGCCAAGAAGGGCCCAAGGGAAGATGCTGAATCTCATTCAGAACAGGAAATAAATATCTGAAGTAGATGGAGGGAGGGAACTTGGTAGGAGAAGGGGTGGGGAAGGTAACTGGGGTTGAGGACAGAAGGCATGCAGAAAGAAGAAAAACCATGGCCTGGGGCATCTCTGAGACAGGCTGGGGACCTACAGCAGGATAGGCTTCTGGGAAGAAATGGAGGTGACTCCAGCAAAGTCCCTTACTAGCAGGGGACATGAAGACTGAAGAGGCCACTCACTAATCAGACAGGACTCCAAGTAGAGGGAGGGGAACACCCACTCACCTACAAAAACTTCAACCCAAAATTTACCCTGCCTACAAGATGTGCAGGGATAAGGTCAGAGCAGAGATTGGGAGAATGTCCAACCAATGCCTGGCCACACCATGGGAGACAGCAACCTCCTAACACTATTAACAACACTCTGCTATGCTTACAGACAGCAGCTTAGCTGTCCTTTGAGAGGCTCCACCCAGCAATGGATAGAAACAAATGCTGAGACTCACAGCCAAGCACTGGGCGAAGCACAGGTTGTCTTGTGGAAGTGGGAGGAAAGATATAAGGACCAGGAGGGAACAGGATCTCCACAAGAAAACCAACAGAGCCAACTAACCTGGGCCTAGGGTGACTTGCAGAGACTGAAACACCAACCAAAGGTGCTGTATGGACTAGACCTAGGCACCCTGCACATATGGACAGCCTGGTCTTCATGTGGGTCCTCTAGCAAGGGGAGTAGGGGTTGTCTCTGACAAAGACTTGCTTGCATGTGTTTTGATCACTTGCCCCTGGTGATGCTGCCTTGCCAGGCCACTGTGGTAGAGGATGTGCTCAGTCCTGATTTGATGTGCTAGGAGGGGGAGGGGTTCTCCTTTATGGAGGTAGAATTGAGGGGGAATACTGGAAAGAGGGAAGGAGGATGGGACCATGGGAATGGGAGGAGAGGAAGGAGGGGACTACAACTGGGATGCAAAGCGAATAAATAAATAAATAAATAAATAAATGAATGAATGAATAAATAAATAAATAACTTTTACTAATAAAAAAAGATTAAGAACAAGACAATATCTTCTCTCAGCATGTATGTTTAAAACAGCATTAAAAGCTATAAACAATGCAATGATACAATGACTTTTTTTCACAGATAATCTGATCGTGTTTGTTGAAATCTTAAGAAATGCAAAAGGCCAAAAGGAAAAAGAAAGTGTTTTCAGCAAGTTGTGTCAATTCACAGAAGCTTTATCTGTGTCAATTCAGATAAAGTGTCAATTCTTTATCTGAGAAGCAGAAACCATACTTTGTAAATTTTGCTGTGATGTCTTTTGTCAGTGTTTTTGATAGTCATAGATTCCACTAATTCTCTAAGTATCTTTAAGTGTAGGTGTTCTAGGTCCCCATGGACACCTTGGTTTACTGTATTTAATCTTGGTGGGACTTCCACATAAATTGGGTACTTTGAGTGTGATGGAGCCTTTCATGGCTTTTGGTGAGCTTAACTCAGGGTTCTGGAGTTCTAGATATTCAACCACCAGCAAAGCCTCCCTGAGGCAAGTGGCTTCTGAGTTCACTCTCTCAAGCCCAAGAAGCATATAAAAATCTGGACTAGAAGTAAGAACACAAAATGTTAATTTATTTTAAAAAAAGAAGAAAGAACTCTGAAGAATGGGAGTGGCTCTAGTTGAGTAATGGCTTTTTTTAAACAGTCTCACTCTAGCTCAGGCTGGTCTCTAATTAGTGGTATGCCTTCTGAGTGCTGGGACACAGGTGTATACTACCATATCTGCTATTACTTTAATTTGTATTTAATATTATAGGTGAGTTTGAGCTGAGTTTCACTGTTTGGACATACAGTGAATTCTATGCCAACTTCAACTATATTATAAAATGGTATCTCAAAACCAAAACTAAACCAAATCAAAACCAGACAGACAAGACAGATAAGATCACTGAGGTCAATACAGTTCTTACTGCTACAAACCTGATAACACCTCTAGATGAAACTAAGATGCTTTAAAATCATACAAATAAGCTTTTGTTCTCATCTCGTGCCACCTCTTCAGGGTCTTCATGGCTAGAAGAAGCACTCTGTTTTGTTTTTGCTTTTTCCTAGCTCCTCACGCCCTTGCACTGTAGAAGCTCTTTCTGCTTGTGCTGACTCAGGTCAGAAACAGGGCTCTCCTTGACTGACTCACACTTTGTTCTTACAATCTGTCTCAAGAACGATTTCCTACATGCCACACCCACTCAGATGGCTGGAATTAAAATGCTCAAGAATGTGGAGGAATCAGAATCCTTTTAACATTGCTGTTGGCAATGAAAAAGTAGTACCACAGCTTTGGAAAACAGATTGGTGAGTCCTCAAAATGACTAAACCTTGGGGTTACCAGATGATGTTGCAATTTGGTTTCCTTGTCAGTTGCCATGGAACTTACAACATATGCTCACATAAAATAATTTACATGAATAAATTCATAAGCAGCATTATTTACAGACAAATGGTATATATTTTTAGCTATGGTATATTTTTTAGCTATAAAGAAAACCAAAAAATAAAAATCAAACAAACAAAGACAATGGAAACAGTGGATCCTATCAGAATTTTAGGTGGAAGTCATCTTAGATTTACTATTTCCAAGCACTCTGCTGTGTAGTCACCAAAGCAACTCTAGGTTACTTGAATAAGTACACAGCACACAGTCTTATAAGAACCTGGTACAGAATTACTTGACTTGAGAACACAGAAGAAAACATACCTTAAAACCCATGCCTCTTACCTCAACGTCAAACACTTCCACAGTGCTGTCCAGCAGCTTCACTCTGATGCACAGCTGTTTCTCCTGCATCCTGGGTGAGAGGGTCTGCTCTGGCTCCAGGGTACTGACTCCCACTGAGGTCGTTTGGGCACCCAAGCGTGTCCCTGAAGTCGGTAAAACTCTGTATGTTCCTTCTATCTCCCCCATTCTTCATTAGTTGAAAGTAGAGGAAACAGTAAAACAAAAACACACTAAATAACTATATTATTTAGATAGTAAAACAATTTTTAGTAAACAAACAAACAAACAAAACATTGGGTTCACAGAAACCCGCAATATCTTGTATTAAACGTTTGAGTCTTAAATTACATTAAAATAAGGAACACAAAGTTTTTCAAAATGAATAAAACCCTTAAAGATTTTCCAAGGTGCTCTGAGGCAGGGACATAGATTAACTCACTGAACTTTCAGCCATTCATGAGTGACATCATTACCAATCACCTGGGAGAAGGAGAAAACCCATAGCTATCTCTCTTCCCAGTGCTGCTGACTAACCAGCATGTCTCCCTCCTTCAGTCTAGTCATGTGTGCTAACAATCTGGTCTAAGTGCTAGACAGTGTTCTTTCTAGTAAAAGTAATAGGATAGCATCAACATGTGTTTGACATCTTCACAGTAATCTGAAGCAGCCATGGACTGTCTTTTACAGTGGCTCAGCATGCAAAGAACACTACTAGGGATGAAGCTGAAGTACCTGAAAACAGCCAGACTCCTCTTTGCCAGCTTTGTACTCCATTTATTTTGTGGGGTAGAGCAGTTGCCACTGGTCATATGGGAGGGAATCTGTGGCACCAAATGACAGCCCAGACAAGGCATCTGGTGAGTCTAGACATCTGCCCCACACTATTCTCAAAGTGTGTCCCACCTCAAACCCACCACAAAACACTGTTATCACTATGCATGACCATCTAACAAATGACACTAAAGATCCAAAAGGATCAGGATCATTTTCAATCCTCCCTGTTGCACTAAAGGAAAAGCCTGTTTTTAAGCTGTTAAATCCAATAGGTAATTTCCTCACTGTTTCTAACAAAGGGCAAACTAAGTATCAGCTAGAATCTCCTAATACTATTTTTCCTTGTACTAAGGTACTTACTATTTGTGGAAAATTTCCTTCTTAAATATATTTATGGTTGAGTTCTAGAGGAGTCTGGTCTATATGGGATCTTCTCTAAAACAACAAACAAAAACAAAACTAAGCAAGCTGGGTGTGGGGACTTAGGAGGCAGAGGCAAAAGACTCTTGAGTCTGAAGCCAGCCTGGTCTTCAGAGTGAACTTACCTTAAAAAAGAAACAAAATAAAACAAGAAAAATATTTAACAGTAAAACAACGTAACAAAAGATACAGGCCAAAGTGGTGGAAGGGAGACACAAACATCAGATGTTAAACCAATAAAAAATGAAGTCTGCAAAACTTACTTTATGTCTCTTAAATAACTGCAAATGTCTTCTGCTAACTGTAGTAACCTTTTAAACTTGGGCTGGGGCTGTAGCTCAGGGGCTCAGAGCTACACAAGGGTCTGAGTTCTTCAGCACTAAGAAAACAACAACAAGCTCACTCACTTCCCAGCCCATTCTCTCATATGCCAGCCATTGCTGAGGGTCCTTTCATGTCTTCATGCATATCTTACTATCGAGACAAACCAAACAAAGGATCTTGTAGCCTTTGAATTACATTTAAAAGCTTCATGACTCATTTCCAATGAAATCCTTCTTAAAGCCACATCCCACAGGGATCTTGGTTGAAAAGTACTCCATGCATTCAGTTTATCAAAGAAGGCTAAAATCTTTTGGCAAAGTAAAACACAAGGGCCAATGAGAAGGTTCAGCAAGTAAACCTGAGGTAAGCATAAGCTCCATGACCTGATCTCCATCCCAGGACTCACATGGTGGAAAAGACAGAAATGACTCGAGAAAGCCATTTTCTGACTTCCACAAGTGTGCCAAAGTACAGTGCACCCACACATATGCAAATAAATAAATATTTAAAAAATGTGAGGAGCAAAATGATGAAGTAGTACACGATTGTACCAAGTTAATTTTTCAGCTTAATTCCTATATAAAGCCAGTTCAAACCACTGAACAGACCAACTGCTTACATGTAAAGCTCAGGTAGCTGTAGCCTACCATTCTTTGGAAGCTCTCCTGTCTGTATGCTCCTGAGGGTAGTACCAGATCTCATTATGTCTGCCAGCTAAGTAGTTACTTAGTATCAGTGGTATTAAAAATCTGTACTGTCTCACTAAGAAGCATACTGTATACACTACCATAGATAAAACTGAAGACTGACCACAAGACTGATACTTAAGAGTAGTTCCCACACTGTTAACATGAGCCGTTGAAGCTCTTAGAGCTACAAACATGAACTTTTCATTTAACTTTCACAAACTTTTAATAAAAATACACTTACATTAAAATGTATTTGAGACTTCTACCTTTAAGGTGCCTCCACAGTGGAAGTAGTTGAAAATACAAACAGTTACTTCTATGTTCATCAGTATTTACCAAATATTGAATCATCAAATGTTCTGCTAAAGTTTTGAGTGTGAACTGTTCCCAAAGGTCCCAGTGTTAAAGGCCTGTCTACCATCTGATGGGCTTTTGAGAATGATTGCATTATGAGGGTTCTAACCAACCCCATAGTGGATTAACCCACTGACAGGTTCATAATTGCATGGCAATAATGCCATCCAGTTAGGACAGCGGTTCTCAACCTGTGGACTAAACAGGGGTCACCTAAGACCATCAGAAATCATAGACATTTATATTACATTTCATAACAGTAGCAAAATTACAGCTATGAGGTAGCAACAAAAATAAGTTTATGGTTGGGGATCACCACAACTTGAGGAACTGTATTAAAGGATCACAGTATTAGGAAGGTTGAGAACCACTGCCTTGCAGCCTACTTGAAGGAAGTAAGCCAGGGCTGGTCAGTGTCTTTCTACCTTTGTTGAGGTCAGCCACTTCACTCCACCACATGCTCCCTACCATGAAGCTCTGTTTCACCACCTATGAAGCCAGAAGCAATGGGGAGGTGACTATGGACTAAAACCTGAGACAAAGGCTTCTTCCATATGTGGTTTGTTACAGTGATGGGAAAATGATCAACTTAAGTTAGTTCTTCTGAAAGGTCTGTGTTTTACTCTGGTCATCACACCCAATATCTTCCCTTAAATAAGGCTACAACTCTGAAAATACATAAAGTCAAAATATTTTTAGAGGCTATTTATCTAATTTTTTTACTATATAATTTTCATTTATATTTTTATATGTATTTATTCAGGGACAGGATACTGTTATGTTCCCTGGCTCATGGCTCAATCAATCCTACCTCAGCTTCCCACATGTTGGGCAATGGGCACAACACTGGGCTCAGCTTCTAAGTATGTCTATAGTGGAAAATTCTTCAGGTTTTCCATTGTATTTTTTTAAATATAAAATAGTTGCATCTAACCATGCAGTTTTAAGAAAATGAACAAGGACAACCACAAGGCCTAGAAGTACACACTAAGATGGAAAAATGTAAACAAAGGAAATGAAAGGGAAGTTATTACGAGCTCACCACGAATAAGAGTCCCTCTCTCACTTACACAGGGCACAGAGTAAGTACTCCTAGGGCAGACAGTATTCACCTTATACAACAGTGAGCCACACAAGTGTGGTGACATACACATGCATCTTGGAGACTGAGGCAGATGGTCACAAGACCAGCCTGCACACTAATGTTCTGTTTTTTTAACAAGTGCTTTTAGCCACTGAGCCATCTCTCTAGCCTAGCCCTTTTTTAATTTTTTGTGTGAGGCAGGTGTTTTGCCTGTATGTATGTCTGAGCACCATGTGCATACAGTGTCTGAGGTCAAAAAGGGCATCAAATCTCCTGGAACTTGAATGATAGGCAGTCATGAGCCACCATATGGGTGTTGGAAAATGAACGTGGATCTTTTTTACAAAATATATTTGTGTATGTGTGTACCACATGTCTATAGGAGCCTGTGTGTGAAGATCAAAAGAAAGCACTGGATCCTCTGGTACTGATGTTACAGATGGTTGTGAACCACCATGGGGGTTCTGGGACCCAAACTTAGGTGTTCACAAAAGAGCAGCAAGCCTGCCTTACTCCCTCCTATCCTTTCTTCTTAAAGATTTGTTTATTTTTTTAGAGTGTTTTGTTTGCACATATGTCTGTGTACCACATGCATGCTCGATTCCTGAGGAGGTCAGAGGAGGGCACTGGCTTCCTGGAAGGAGTTATGTACAACTGTGAGCTGTTATGTGGGTGCTGGCAATCAAACCCAGGTCTCTGCAAGAACAAATGCTCTTGAACACAAAAACAAAATGAATGGAGCTGGAGAGATGGGTCAGGGGTTAAGAGTGCTTGTTGTTCTTGACGAGGACCTGGGCTCAGTTCCTAGCACTCACACCCAGAAGCTTACAACCATCGGAAACTTTAGTTCCAGGGGACCAGACACCCTCTTTTGGTCTCCAAAGGCACCGGCATGAGCATGTGCACAATATAAATGAATCTTTAGATATATGTGCACATATAAAATGAATCTTTAGAAAACCCTACAAAATTAAGCCATAAGTTCATGAGCTCTCTCTCTCTCTCTCTTTCTCTCTCTCTCTCTCTCTCTATATATATATATATATTTATTCAATACAGATTAACTCTCTCCCTAGCTATAACTTTTCATTTAACACTAGTGAATTTATCTACCATGAGACTAAAGACACAGAAGTGCTTGAGGGATATTAAAGCTCTCCTGTATTATGTGTCTCACTAGGGACACCTCTGAGCACTGCACTAACCTCTGTATTTCTTTTCATCTGACTCAAAGTAAGTCACAGAGCTACAGCTGAGATCCAGAGTCCTAAGACACTTTTATTCACACTGGTTTGGGTAAGCAATGACCTGGAGGCATGCATGCTGCCACAATTTCAAAGACAAATCTATTTGCTATTCTAATGCAGCATGAACTAGCTACTTAACAAATACTCAGCTTCAAGGAGAAGTTTGAGACAGAGACTTAAGGATAAGACTTTAAGGATTAGTGTATTACTAAGTTTAGGAGAGATTAAAAGTAAAGAACTTAATAGATAACTGATAGACAATCCCACTGTTGTGAACACTGGTTAACCTTCATCT